TAGTTTACAGAGAAATCCATAGGAAGAGTGTTCAAATACTTTTCGTAACGGTAAACAGGTTATAATTTATCACTTTAAAAAGTTGTAACCATTATTATCTTGCTGAATAATTTGTGGCCTTTGCAGCAACCTGGCTGGGAGTCCCTTATAAAGAACATCCTTGTGCTGCTGCTGTTTCACACACGGGAAGGTATCTGTAGGACAAATTCACCCACAATCCCCCTTCCAGAAAGAGATGCATGTCTTTCATTTCAACAGACAGGGCCTAATTACTCTGCAAAAGAGGAGGTATATGCCACTTACCAAAAATGTATGGGAAAGGCTGTTTTCCCCAGCCTTGGTAATACTCTGCCAAGATAAGAGGCAAAAATAGGCTTTAGAACAAGCAGTGATGTGGGTCCCAAGGACAAAGCTAAGGGCCCCTGGACCCACATTTCCCAGCTCAGGTGTTTCACCGGCCTGCTGGGGGCCCTTCTCCAGCTGAGCAAGGCTGTGGCCAGTTCCTTTCTGGGTGTGGAGCCCGGCCTTGCAGACATCACACACAGTCTGGTTCCTACCACATCTGCAGGGAGAATAGCTTCCAAGTCAGCAGGATTTACAACAAGCAGCACCCTTTCCCCCGAGTCATTCTCAATACAGAGACCAGAAACCAATTCCAGGGTACCAAAGGGACAGCCAACATGGTGACCTCAACGATAGCCATCACACACCTGCTTGCTCTGCCTGGTCCAGCCCTGCTGGGACCTGGATGACCCCATCACTAGTGTTCAGGGACAGAACACAAAGGGAAAGAGGGTGAGGCTGCAGTTAAGTGAGGTGGCACCGCAGGATCTGCCCTCTCCCTGCCACCTCCCATAGTACTCACAGCCCCACTGTTGTGACTCTAAACCACTGTAGAGTCCCACCCCTGGGAAGGGCAGAGAGCGAAGAACGGGGACCGAGAAGAGGAGTTGGGAAGTTACCACACTGTTTGCAGACCTCTTCATTGGACTGAGGAACCTGACCTTAATCTTCCTTCCAGAAAGACAAAAGGCCCCAGGCCTGCCCAGGCCTGCCCTCTGCAACCCAGATGTCCTTAGAACATGACAGGAGGAGGTTGCAGACAGGTTCTTCTCGCCTCCCACCTCTGCCCATGTTATCTGCCCCAGCACATAAATTCTGGCAGAGTCAGGACTGTGCCTCGCCCAGCTCCTCTTATCCAGCAGGATGTCAGTAAATGGCTGGAAACAAAGAGCATATTGGTTTTTAGACTGTTGTCTGCCTTCCTTTGCTGAAGAATATAATAACAGCAAACAATTATACAGTGGTATCATTTGTCAGTACTGGTCTAAGCTCTTTTATAGTATTAACTTACTTAATCCTTACAGAAATCATAAGAGAGAGGCACTATAATTATTCCCAGTTTACAGATGAACAAACTGAGGCACTGAGAGATGGAGAACTTTGCCTGAGATCACACAGTGAGTAAACAGCAGAGCTGGAGCTTTGCAGCAGGGAGCTCCCCACCCACCATCTGTTCACTCCTGAACATGCCTGGTACCTCGCAGGTGCTCACGTAGTCACTGCAGGCATGCTGTGGACACGCAGCCCCTCCCGCCTCAACAGCCCTTTTAAAGGAGAAGAACCCTGGACATACCACGATGCTGGTGAAGGCTTTGGTTCTGACCCTAATGATTTAGCAAACACAAAGGGATAACTGCCTGGCTAAGTGACAGCAAAGCCAATTATAAAAGAATCACAACAATGAACCCGGCCAGAACCCATAACTCTTCTGAAGGTGTGCACGTGGCCATGTAGGTGGCAGGATCTGCATCAGGCACTGGAACTGCCCTGTCACTTCTGCTTTCAGGTGACACAGGTCCAGCTTGCTCAGATCTTTCATGGGGCACATGGCATCGGGCAGCTTTTTCTCTTGAATTCATTCTACCTACACCCTCAGGAATGTATAAAAATTTCAAATTTCTGTCCTTGTCTTAAAAGATTTGCTCACAATTCCAATCCTTTGTGCAATGCTGTGCATGCTAGCTACAAGTGAAAGGTGTTTACCCTCAGCCCTGGACATGAAACTCTAGTCACTTTCTATGGGTGCTGTCACAAATGACCACAAACTTTATGCGTTAAGACAACAGAAATGTATTATCTTATGGTCTTGGAGGCCAGAAGTCCTAAAGTTGAGGTGTCAGAGCTGTGTTCCTTCCAGAGGCCCTAGGGAAGGGCCCCTTGCTGTCTTTTGCTGCTTCTAGAAGCTGCTTCCTCCATCTTCAGGTATCTCTGACATGTTCATCTCTACCCCTCTTGCTTCCCTCTAACAAAGACCCTCACGGATATGCTGGACCCACTGGGATAACCCAGGAAAATCTCCCCACACCAGGATCCTCAACCACATCCGCAAACCCCTTTTGCCACATACGGCGACATTCACAGGCTCTGGACATTGGAAGTGGTCCTCTTTGGGGAGGGGCACTATTCTGTACACAATACCCTGAGCCCTTTCCAGACTCTTTTCCTCTTTTCTCTTTCAAAGACCCCAGGCTCTTTTGAAGAGCACCTCGCTTTGATCCAACTAACCTTGTCACTATAACCCAATGCTCTCAAACTTTGCTGCACACTGGAATCACCTGGAGAGCCTTTTAAAACTCCCAGTGCTGGGGTCACGCCCCAGACCAATCAAAGCACAACATACTGGGGATGAGGGCCAGGTAGCAGCACTTTTAAAAAATACATATCTGCAGGGATTCCAATACTCACAGTTTGGGAACCACTGCTATGATCAACAGAATTTCCCAGAACGACACCCCACACCCTTCACTGATGGGTGTGAGCAGGGTGGGGGGTCACATCGTCTCAAGGTGTCTCATGTTGACTTCAGGATCCCCTTCCCTGGAAGACTGCCATTCCATCAGGCCTATTGTCCTCCATTACAAACTCCAACCTGTCATGTCCTTTCTTCTGTCCCCAGCAGCCACACTCCTTCGCTATACTCTTCACCTCACAAACACCCTCCACTCTGTCCTATGAGCCTGGCAAAACACCAGCCCTCACACTTAGCCACCGCACCCTCGCCTGCACCAGCTACTGCGGAGAAATCAGAGGTGGCTGACCCAGCTCTCCTGACCTTTATGACCACGGATCCCAAAGGAGTCCCCGATTCAGCCAGTCAGTGCTGCCTAATTCCCTAATAACCTCACTTTCCCTATCTGCAAAGTGGCTATTCTTTCCTCATTCTCCCAAATGAAACCCTCTCAATGCTGACCTCCAATCTCTCACCCTTCAAAGAGATCAGAGATACCCTCAAGTCCTTGGTTTCTCTAACACGCTTGCATCTAAACCCAGACACTCTGCCCTCCCTCTGTCACCAGAGAAGAGGCGCACTGCTTCCCAGGCCACGCCCCACCTGAGTCTTGCATCCACCCACCTTGCTGTTCCCACGCATTGTGTTCTCCCCTCTTCCCTAGAATTGTTACCTCTCTGAGATTATTACATAAGAACATGCTGTTAAATCCCTCCAGCTTTTGAAACTGTTTAAAAAGGAGTTCAGTCATACAAAGGAAGTTCCCTAACCATATGGAATTAAGTTAGAAATCAACACCAGCCAGATAGCTAGAAAATCCCCACACAGGTTGGGAACTAAAAACATACTTCAAAATACCCTTGGTCAAAGATATCAAAATGGAAATTAGAAAGTATTTCAATCTCAATGAAATTGAAAACACAACATCTAAAGTAGTACTTAAGGGAAACTTACACCATTTAATGCCTACATTAGAAAAGAAGAACTGTCTCAAATCAATGCCTTCTGCTTCCACGGTAAGAAACCAGAAAAAGAGTGAATAAAATCCAAGGTGAGAAGAAGAAAGGGAATAAAGATCAGAACAGAAACCAATATAATCGTGGAGAGGGAGGAGAAGAAAAAGAGATCAATGTAACTAAAGACTGATTCCTTGAGAAAAATCTAAACAATTGATAAGCCTGTAGGCAAACAGATGGGGAAGAAAATATGCAAGACAAATTACTAATGTCAGAATGAGAGAGGAAGTATCGTTACCAATACTAAAAGGATGATAAGGGCATACTTGTGTCAATAGGATCAAAAATGTAGATGAAACATACATTTCGGAAAAACACAAATTAAGCTCACCCAAGAAGAAATGGAAACCCTGAATATCCCCCTCTATCCTTAAAATAGGGTTCTGGATAATCTTCAGGAAAAAAAGAACAAAATACTGGTTGAGGCGCATTCAGAGACCACAGCAGGTGCCCACCTTCCTGACCTCAGGTGTGGACTTGGAAGAGAAGGGCGACTAGGGTGACAGAGGCACAGGCAGTTCAGCCAGCTCTGCCTGGGAAAAGCTGAGTCATGACAAGATCACAGTTCTCCCCAAGTCTGAGTCACTAATCAAACACACGGATTACACTGAACATGGATGGAGTTTTAATTTTGTGCCCACATCTTGACATGCCTTTGGGAATTTGTTTTCAGTTGGACTTGTTCTTGGGTACAAACATCTAACAGGGAAGAAGACATATAGATCAATTTAGATCTACACAGGTATCTACCCTCCTTGGACAAACGTAAATGCAGATAATTTTATCATCCGTAGGAGTTATGTAAGGATCAAATTAAAAATTCCCACTAAAGGGTTGGCCCACAGTAAACATTTCCTCGCACCTGGGGGCGCACTGAGAATCAGCCACGTAGTCTGCCCACACCTGTTAAGTCTACTCACGGGACACCTAATTCTGAATTTCTCTTGAGCAAGCAAAGGGATCTATGTCCAGAGAAGCAGTTGCTGTGTCCAAGTAATTTCACTGCATCTCAGGAAAAAACATTCGCATTTTGCAGTGGGCGATGGGCGCACGCCCAAGAAAATTACTCAGCTCTCGCTTTCCTCCCTTTGGGGTTCTCCCCAGGCAATTTCTTCAGTCCCACTGCCACGAATCTGTAGCCCTCTACTGACCCGTCACCGTGGGTTTGGCTCCGGGGGAAGCCCAGCTCCCTGGGCGCGGAGCCTGGATCAAAGACAGCGCAGCGCGGGCAGAGGGCGGGCCCGGGAGTTGGGGCGTTACGAAACCTTCAGGAACAGACGGCCCCTCCTCAGAGGGGAGGGACCGAAGCCGCGAGCCTTGTTGTCTAGGACTCCCAGCGCTGGATTCCAGAACTTCCTCTGCGCTGCTGCTCTGACTGTGTCTGGCTCTGCTGTGCGCGCCCCGGGTGGTCCGAAGCCCGGTCGGTTTTCCACGCAGGTGCCCCGCGCCCCCAACGGGCCATGTCGTCCTGCAGCCGCGTCGCGCTGGTGACCGGCGCCAACAAGGGCATCGGTTTTGCCATCACGCGCGACCTGTGCCGCCAGTTCTCAGGGGACGTGGTGCTCACGGCGCGGGACGCGGCGCGGGGCCAGGCGGCTGTGCAGCAGCTGCAGGCCGAGGGCCTGAGCCCGCGCTTCCACCAGCTGGACATCGACGACCTGCAGAGCATCCGCGCCCTGCGCGACTTCCTGCGCAGGGAGTACGGGGGGCTCAACGTGTTGGTCAACAACGCGGGCATCGCCTTCAAGAGTAGGTGCGGGGTCTGGGGCAAGGACGTTCCCGGGGCGCTCAGTGGGTGCGGGGCAGGGAGCCGCGGACTCCCCACCCACCCACTTGAGTGATCGAGGAGGGCGGCGCCGGCCCCTAGGGATGCACTCAGCTCTGGCTTCCCGCAGCGGGTTTTCCCTTTCCGTGATTCGCTGAGCGCCAGGCGGGCCCGTGCGACCGACACAGCGCGCCCCGCCCGCCGGCCTGTGCGGGCCTGTGCGCTGCGCTGGGCCCTCCCCGAACTGTCAGTTGCTATTTGCAACAAAACTGGCCTCCTAGGAGGAGGCCACGCCCTGCCACACTCATCAGCTTTCTGTCCAAGGCGAGAAATATTTTCTCTGTGAAGGGTCTCCAACCTCACTTTGGGCTTTCATTTCCCTTGAAAGGGCTCATTCATAGATGCCCGGAGGCATTTGCTCGCGAAAGGAAGTGAATCGCTAGAACACGATTAGCGCGCACTTGCACATTAGCGAACTTCATAGGTTTTTTTTTTTAATGGAGAGCTTTAATAGGCTCTGGCAAAAAAGGAAGCAAGCCTTAATTCCCTCTTCCAGGGAGCTTATGTTTGTTATAATACATGCACGTGTGATTTTTAAGAACATCTTCGGTTGGGGGGGCGTATCTAGATTACGTATTCTAACTGCTAAAGTTACTCAGCTGCCACGTGCTGAGGGTACAAAGAACTAAACAGGCCAGCTTCACTTACAACCCCGTAGGAAGAAAAGCCCAGGAGACCGACCGAGTAAAATGAATGATGGCGGAGCAGAGGTCTCCGTCCCTTTGGCCCGGGACACTGATATTGCTGTGGTAGGCGACCCAGACTCCCTGCCTGCACCTACAACTCAGCCTGCGGGCTTCTTGCAAGCTTGCGGGGTGGGGGCGTAAGTAGAGCATTACCACCCCCTGGAGCAGCCCTCAGCCATTGGCTAAGGGATCTATGAGTAAATACCCAGCTTCCTGGACGACAGGTGGAGGGACTTGTGCGCCGGAAGCCCTTGCCTTTCAAAGTGTGGAAAACGGACCAGCCATAACCGCAAACCTGGGAAGACCTTGGCACCGCAGAATCTCAGGCCTTACTGAATCAAAATATGCATTTTAACAGAATCCCCGGGTACGTCCTATGTGCATCCCAGTTTGAGAAGCAGTGATCAAAGCCAGGTGTTCTCAAAGCGCGGCTGGAGACCGGTAGCTGTGACTCACCTGGGAATTTGATAGAATTCCGAGCCCTAGCCCGGAATCAGGCGCTCGTCGGTGAGGCCCAGAAAGCTGCGCTTTGACAGGCGCTGCAGGTGATTCTGATGCACACTAAAGTTTGAGAACCACCAACCTAGGGAGTTACAATTTGTTTTAAAGTTAGCTTGTTTTTCCTTTAATTAGTTGTTATGAGATAGGATCCAGTTTGTCATATGAGTTTCAGGGGGAAATGTATGATTTTCTTTTTGTTTCTTTCTTTTTCTAAAAGTTGATGATCCAACGCCCTTTGACATTCAAGCTGAGATGACCCTGAAGACAAATTTTTTTGCCACTAGAAATGTGTGCACTGAGTTACTGCCGATAATGAAACCTCATGGTAAGTCCGGTGTGTAGCCTGTCAGGTTGCATCCTCATAAGGAGTAAGCCACAGGCTCCCTGGAACAGGGCTGCCCTGCAGGAATCACCCAGAGGTGTTATTTCTCTGTAGGGGGAAAAATTAAAAGCTGCCGTATTTTCTCGTTGTCTGGTTTCTCATTCAAACATCTTAGCTTTAGTTTTCAAAGATATATATGATATATCACAGTCCTCTTAGGATTCATGTCATCAACTCAACCCTAGATGACAGAATGTTACAGTTCCCCAAAAGTCTCTTGCCTCTGATCAACCTCAGCGAGTCCTCCACCTCTCCGAGGTGATGGGCCCACACCTGGCTCACGTCAGGACCGGGCATAGTATCTATTCTAGCATTGTGACTTTCCTTGTATTCCTTTCTTCTTGTACCAAGCTTTGTCAAGCTGATTCAGAAAATCCAAAAGAAATTTTCTTTATTAGGAACTATCTTGCCCGCATCCTTAAGTATTCAATAAATAATTTGTATTACTTTTCCCACAAATATATTTATTGAGTGCCTATCACATCCCAGGCACTATGCCAGGTTCTGGGGGTGCAATGGTGAGCACTGCAGACAGGGAACATCCATCCATGGAGCTGAGAGTCTAGTGGGGCAGACAGTCATTAATAAAGAATCAGAAGTATAAAATGACAACTGTGCTAGGGTGGGGGGAACACCTGCTTCCCTGAGGATTTTATTTCCCAAGAACTTAACTGTAATTCTTAGGAAGAACTCTGTAGTTCTTATTAGAACTGTGATTTTCTTAATTTAACATTTTAAATAAGGATTATCTCTGAATGCAAAAAATTTTTAACCTAAAAAGGTGGATGGTGAGAGTTGTATTCCTGTACTTCTCTTTATCAGTTCCTTAGTGGGATGGGATCATGGAAAGCCTGCAGGTAGAGCTGCAGGTGCTGGTGGAGGGGAGCCTTGGGGCCAGATGCACAGGTGGTGAGTGCCCAGGGCCAGGGGGATGGAGTTTTAAAATGCAAATCTAAGTAAATATAAATGCATGGTTTTAAAAATTCCCTTTTTACACAAATGGTGACATTTAGTATAATGTTTGCTACCTCGCTTTTTTCACTTCTTATATCTGGGACTCTTTCCAGATTGAGATAAAAAAGGGGTTTTTTTTGTTTGTTTTGTTTTTTTTTCTTTTTTTTTGAGACAGGGTCTTGCTCTGTTGCCTGGGCTAGAGTGCAGTGGCATCATCATAGATCACGGCCTCCTCGATCTCCTGGGCACAAGCAATCCTCCTGCCTCAGCCTCCCAAGTAGCTGGGACTACAGGCATGTGCCACCATGCCTGCCTAATACTTTTTTAATATTTTGTAGAGATGAGGGTATGCTATGTTGCTCAGGCTGGTCTCAAACTCCTGCCCTCAAGCAAGCCTCCTGCCTTGGCCTCCCAGAGTGCTAAGATTACAGGCATGAGCCAGTGCACCCAACCAAGAATGTCTTTTTACTAAGTATCAGGAATCCTTTTCCCTGATGAATTTTAAAATCATAGAATTTGAGAGCTGCAGGGTATTGAAGAAACCTTGTGTTCCTACACTGCCACTTTACAGAGAGGGAAACTGAGGCAAAGAAGTGCACACAGACAGGTAGTAATAGAGCTAGAAATAGTATCCAGGTTTCTTGACTTTACTCAGTCACATTAAGATAATTGGTTCTAAGGAAGTAAGAATTATAGCATCAAATGATTGTAATCCAAGCCATTCTGAAAGCTAATAGAAGGCTCTGGGAAAAGGGGGATTCACTCAGAGGGAGTGAATCACTATGTTCATCAGTTCTCCCTAACATTACTTCCTAAGGTGGGAAGCTCTGGTTTACAACACATTGAAAATATTTATGACTTTTCAATAAACCTCATATTTACCCGGAGAGCAGAACACTGAGCATCACTGCCTTTTGATTTGTAGGGAATCACTTTGTCCACATACAAGACTGATTTAAAAGACACTCTTTACTTAGCTATAAAGCGTAACTTTAAAGAAAATTATATATGCTCCTCGACTTACAATAGAGTTATGTCCCAATAAACTCATCATAAATTGAAAATATTTTAAGTAGAAAATGCATTTAAGAGAAGGCAGCAAAAGTCCTTGAAGAACCCGGCACTTCTCAGCAACTCTCAAGGAAGCAATCAATGAGAAAACGGAGGCAGAGCAAGGCACGGGATGGTTATGAAGCCAAGAACTTGACATGAATTATGTCTGAATCTCCAGAGCCCAGAGGACTGCCTGGTGTGTAATGAGGAAAACAAGGTGTAAAGAGAAAAAGTGACACACCCATGCACCCAGAGCCTCGATCTGGGTGGCTCTGGAGCCTGTGCTTTCATGAGACTTGTCTCATCTGTCATTGTTTTCTCCACTGTCAGATTATTTTGCATGTTTGGGCACTGCTGCAAAATGAGCTTTTTAGAGAGCCTTCACTCTACGAGAAGTTTATAACATTGCTAATCCAAAGTATTATCTGTTTGACCTACTGAATTTTTGATATTTTTAAATTAATCTTGTACACCAACCTACAATTTGTTTATAGTTGCACAAGATCTCCCATTTTCTACTTCTGAGGTTAGCTAACCATACCATTTCTTTAGTTACAAATGGTTAAATCCATTTATTTTCCATAAGGTCACCCTGTCTTTCATGGTGAACTAACTGCTAACAGCTAAGCCATTGTGACAATAAGGGAAGTATTGTATTTTGACAACATATTCCCTACAATATATTTTATTCTTACAGTGAAGTGTTAAGATTTTAGTAAAAACATTTGGTCAAATAATTGTATAAAATGAATAGGTTCACATGTTCCAATGCCTTTTTTTTATTTTTAATTTTAAGGTAGTATAAATTTATAGCTCCCCAGAAAGAATCCATCAGAGGAATTAAGTCTGCCACACTCACTCACAATTCCCACTTTAATCTTTCATCTCTGAATTCAAGTCTTGTTGTTACTTCTACACATAACAGGAAATGTTCATCTGCTTCTTTCTTCCTCAGCAGGATAAGACTTTTTTCTGAAGTCACAGCAAGGACTTTTGTTCCATATGGGAAAACCTTCTGTAATTTAAATGGCTAGATTTTCTAATAGGAATTTTTTCATATCAAATTAAAAGTTTCTTATGAAGAGATATTTGTGATTTTGTGGAAATAAATTCCTGACAAATTTTAAAAAATGCATTTAATTCACCTAACCTTCCGAACATCATAGCTTAGTCTAGCCTACCGTAAGTGTTCTCAGAACACTTACATTAGCCTACAGTCAGGCAAAATCATTCAACACAAAGCCTATTTCATAATTGTTTTGAGTGTCTCATATAATTTATCGAATATTGTACTGAAATTGAAAAACATAATGGTTGTATGAGTACACTGGGCACAATTTCTTCCAAATGCATATCATTTTTGCACAAATATAAAGTCAAAAATCATAGGTGGAATCATCTGAAATTGTTCAAGATGCTGAGTAAATAGGTTAAGCAACTATTAAGCCACCAGAGGGAGCTACTTGCCCGCTCTTTCTATTCTGAGGCAGCAGGTGTCTCGGTACCAGTGGGGCCACCTGGACATCAGCAGAGAATGGTGGTGGTGGTGTCTGTGCAGCCCTTCTGGCTGATTTTACCCATCCAGTTGAGGCTGGCTGTCACCCCCTGGCTTCTCTCCCAGAGGTGTACCCTCAAATCAAAGAGGACACCTCCTCCCCTTAGGATTTTTATTTCCTCAAAGGCATAGCTTCTGTAACTTGTGTTTTCCTTTCTTCCTTTCCCTTAAAATTTAATTCCTTGAAGCAGCCAAATGATTGAGGACAGAGCTGTTTAGAATATAATGAAGACACATCATTGTTGTAGTATTCCTGGCCAAAATATTGATGCGAATCTAATCATAAGAAAATGAGACCAATCCAAATTAAGAGAAATACTATAAAATCATGCCCTAGGGTCTTCAAAAAAAGTCATTGTCAACTACCCTAGATTAAAATAGACTAAAAAGATTGACAAATGCAATCCATGATTCCACATTGAACTCTGGATTAAAACAAAAACTATAAATGAACATTATTGGGACAATTGGGGACACTTGAATATGGACTATTAGATAATAGTGTTATATAATGATGTCCTGAGTGTGATCACAATTGTACTTATGTAGAGAAATGGCCTCGTTCCACATATATACTAATGTATTTAAGGTGAAGTTTATGATATCTGCAACTTAAAGCACCAGAGAAAGGGAGAAAGCAAACTTGGCAAAATGTTAACAATTGGTGAACTTAGGTGAAGGGTGTATGGGTGTTTATTGAACTATTCTTGCAACTTCTCTGTAGTTTTCAAATTTTTCAAAATTAAAAGTTTGGAAAGAAATACATAATACCACTAGGGGGAGAGAGAGAAAGGAAGGAAAGAAATACTGAAGGGTCTTAGGAAATTGGGGGATATATGAGGTGCTAGTTTTCAAGGACAGAGTGAGGGAATCTCCATATGGGATTGGGGACCATGACAATGTCCAGTAGAATGTGCAGCAACCCCAAAATATGTACTGTGAATGCCACTCAGAAAATGAAACAAAATCTAGTGATCCTATTGGATGCAGAGGATGTAGGTTCAGAATAATATGTAAGAAAAGAATTCCCCCTTATTGTATAGTTTTTGGCTTGCATGTTTGTTTACATGGGAAAATTTTTCTTTCTTTCTTTTTCTTTTTTGGTAGAGATGGGAAGGTTTCTCTATGTTGTCCAGGCTAATCTCAAACTCCTGGCCTCAAGCGATCCTCCTACCTCAGCCTCCCAAAATTCTGGGATTACAGGCATGAGCCAGCCTCACAATTTTCTCTTTAGTAGCTGTGAATTATTATCAACATGAACATTAATTCATAATTTGATGAATATGAATATATTAACCATGGACTAAAAAGTAATGAAATCAACATCAGGATGGAGAATCAACCTACTCCATATGGGGAAGTTTCCATTATGGACAGACAAGGGTTAATCCCAGGTATTGCTTGGCTCAGGTTTGGGGCACTCAGGGATAGAAGTAGCTGCCCATGGCCCTAGAAAATTGTGCAAACCTAGGAAATTGAGAGCTTTAGTCCTTAGGGTGAGGGCATTGTCCCTCAGAAAGCAGGTTCATAAGCACTTGGAGGGTGTATGTTGGGGAGGTGGTGGTTTTTGAAAACTGCCTGGTAAATCTACCAATGTACCACCATACCGATCTCACGGAGAATCTCTGCAGAAGGGAGCCCCTGTTCCTGATGGAGGTGTGTTCTTCCCCTTGGGAGAACGGGGGCCCAAAACAGTTAAAACCCACTGATGCACAGATTTTATGCCTCTAGAGTCACTTTTTTATTTTTATCAGCAATTAAACCTGTACCATGACTCAATTGTATGTTTGGTATATTCAACCAAGGATTGTTTCTTTGTGACAAGCTTTCATATTTTTATTATTCTGTTTCAGGGAGAGTGGTGAATATCAGTAGTTTACAGGGTTTAAAAGCTCTTGAAAATTGCAGTGAAGAACTGCAAGAAAAGTTCCGATGTGAGACCCTCACAGAAGGGGACCTGGTGGACCTCATGAAAAAGTTTGTGGAGGACACAAAAAATGAGGTGCATGAGAGGGAAGGTTGGCCCAACTCAGCTTACGGGGTGTCCAAGTTGGGGGTCACGGTTTTATCAAGAATCCTGGCCAGGCATCTGGATGAGAAGAGAAAAGCTGACAGGATCCTACTGAATGCGTGCTGCCCTGGGTGGGTGAACACAGACATGGCTGGGACTTACGGCTCCAGGACGGTGGAAGAGGGGGCTGAGACCCCTGTCTACCTGGCCCTCCTGCCGCCAGATGCTACTGAGCCTCAAGGACAGCTGGTCCGTGACAAAGTTGTACAAAACTGGTGAATGTCTGCTTTGGCGCTTAATGCATAATAAATATTGGTGCAATGAGTGAATGAATCCTGATGTTGTGGTTTGATTCTCTCTCTGTCCTTGAGAAGGAATATCCATTAAAATCTCCCTGGGAGAAAGGTATCTAGATTCGGAATCTGGAGCTGAACAACTTTGCTATGTCAAACTCTTTAGCCTGAGAACAAGAAGAATACAATCTAAAATTGTAGTAGGCATGGAAATCACCTGTGGTTACAACAGATTGCTGGTGCCCGTCCCCACGGTTTCCAATTCAGTAGGTCCGGGGTGGAACCCGAGAATTTGCATTTCTAACAAGTTCCCAGGTGATGCTGACATTGCTGGTCCTGGGACTGGGCTTTGTAAACCACTGGTGTACTGAGTGGTCTCAGAGCCATGGAGTTGGATCTTGGCCATTTTCCAGCCATTCTTTGCTGTTTCTAGTTCACTGATTCTGTAAAGATGAAGATTTATCCTATTTACTTAGCTCTGCAACCTTCCTTCGTATCTCATTCTGGTTTGTTATATTTGAGTATCTTTTCATTGGTTTTTCTGCTTATGAAGTAGTAGAAGAGGATTAGGAGGAATGCCTTTTTTCACTGGGACGTGATTTCCTTCCTGCTAGTTTTTTCAGCTGGGTTTTGGGCCTACGTTCCTTCCCAGAATGTTTGCAAGGTTGCCTTGCAACCTCTTTCATCTTGTTCATGTTTCTGCTTTGGCAACTTCGTCCAGACCATCTTTGCCCCAACACAGGCTCCTTAACCTGTTCACACCCCTCTCTGAGCTACAGCCGGGGGTGATTCTTCAGATGACTCCCTGAGCCCCTTGTATAATCTCTGTGACACAGGGGAGTCCACACTCAGTGCTTTCAAATGAGATTGGTTTTGCAACCAGACCTCCACGGTTCCAGTTATACCCTGCAGAAAAAGGACTTGGAGACCAAAAGGTCTTATGAAAAAAGAAACATACTTGCAAAAGTTTGCAAGGGACTTAAGACTTCAGAATAAATGGCTTGTCAAACGACAAAAATTCAGTGGAATTCAAATTCCATTCAACAATGGAAAAAATACAAAGGAAAAAAACTACAAATTTGCGAAGGTTACCAAGTTTATGATAGCCTGCTCACAGTATAAAACAGAAAAGTTGTCATTTATTATAGCCACAAAGGTCACATGGTATCTCCTGACATCAGTGTTGCATGTGTAAAGGATAATGCTGTTTTCCCTTAGGGAATAGGTAAAATATGGAAATGCTCAAGTTTCATTTATATGGGGGACCAGAACTGAACAGGGTGATCGAGTTATTTCTGGTTCATCATGGGATGTAGGTATTCTTCTTCACTCTGACATACAATGGCAGCACCTCAAAGTGTCAGTTTATCACAACCCTCACCTCACTTTTTCATCCCCTTGGGGTAGAGGGAAGTCTGAATCCCACCCAGACTGCATCGAACTTCCCTCAGCTCATTTCCATATCACCGATTAAATCCAACATGCTCTTAAATTCATCTCAGGCTGTAGCTCCTAAGACATTTTAATGGCTTATCTGGCTCTAAAAACATCTTAATGGCTTTCAGTAAGTTTCCTGAACATCTTTCATACTCTCCCTCTGCAGCCAAACTCCAGAATCCTGCTAATGATGGACAATAGCACAGGAGCCACAGAGCACTTTGAGCTCTGCCTGACAAAGTCTCAGACCGGAGTGCACAGGGAAACAGGCCAGTCCTTTTATTTCTTCTTCCTCTTTTGTCTTTAACCAAATCCTTGCTGGAAAAGCATTTGGCCCACCAAGGGCTTAATTAACAACTGCTGCTCAAAACTGTTTCTCATTCTTATGAGAATGGCTGCCCTTATTGGATGGTTTGCCCAGCATCCTCTTCCAAAATAGTATCTCCTGCCCTCCCCTCTGCTTTCTCTCCATGTTTGCAGCTGCAGCAGCTGCAGCAGCCACAAGGCAACTTTGCCCTCCTATCCTCTGTTGACTGCTCCAGCTGCTCTAAAAAGAAGAACCAGCTGGATTGGATCAGAGCTGTTACTGTGAGTGGCTGCATCCCACCCCATGTGGTCTAACGAACAGAGGGAGGCAGGCCAGAGTAGAAGGCCAACTCTCAAGAGGAGCATTTAGAGAATGGACCAAAGAAACTCCCCTCCCCACAGTGGCACCCCTTCCCTGGCCTCAGATCATTCCTGAAATCCTGGGTTCTAAGAGATGCTCTGAGATACCCCTGTATCCTTAAAATAAGTTTCCCTTTTCCTTAAGCTCAGTTAAATTGGGTAGTTTTTGCTTGCAATCAAAAGGAACCTAACTAATCGCAGGGCATTAAAATGTTTCATTGTATACTGCAGAAAAAAAATAATTAGGCTTGGAATCAAAAGGAAAAAATAAAACAAGAATTGAGAACCCATGGCAAACTAGGCCATATACCATGCTTAATACTTTCCCAACACAGTCTTACATAATTCTCACAATAGTCCTTTGCTTTAGTTCATTTTGTGTTGCTATAACGGAATAGCATGGACTGGGTAATTTATAAAGAAAGCAAACTTATTTCTCAGAGTTCTGAAGGCTGGGGAGTCCAAGAGCATGGTACCAGCATCTGGCGAGGGCCTTTTTGGTGTGTCATACTCTGGTGCAAGAGCAAGAGAGTGAACAACAGCTGAATGCATCCTTTTATCAGGAGCCCACTCCTGCAGTAATGGCATTGATCCACTCATGAGGGCAGATCCCTCATGACCTAATCACCTCTTAAATGTCCCACCTCTCAACACTGTTGCATTAGGGATTAAGTCTCCAACACATAAACTTTGGGGTACACATTCAATCCATAGCATTTTTTAAGGCGAGTATCAATGTCATTTTTCAAATAAATAAGTAAAGGCTTGGCGAGGTTCATTAACTTGCCCAAGATTACAGAGCCAAGAGTGAATAGCCAGGATCATATCCAGGACTACCTGGCTGCAAAGTTTCTTGGTGCCTAGTACTTGGCATGTCCAGCTTCACTGATTACTCTTGAGACCCTGGATAACTCTCTTGATATAAAAATTAAGGGAAATGATACATTTAATCTAAGTGATTTATAAGCCATATGGTTATTAGATACCCAAATTAGCCTCTGTGTAAACTTTTCCATAGAGAAATGAAATATGATTTAAATGCAGCACGTTTTCAATGGATTACCCCATACAATGTGTTTTTTTAGGCACCAGATGGAGCCAGTGGTTCTTTCCACGTTAGCTTTTCTGTGATGTATTTTTCTAGATTGATGCATGTGTGGTAAACTCGCATACACTATCATCAGCTTTGGACTTGGCCCTTTGACTTTCCCTTCACCTACCAAACTGCAACAAGCATAGTGACAGAAGAAAAATGTGAACAATGTTGCAGTGTGGAGAGGAAACAGGTGACTGTGATGAGTAAGACAAAGTAATTTACCTACTGCAAGTCAGCTGCAAAGTGGGCACAGCATCAAATACAGAACTGCACAGATTTCTCCACTAGGAGGACACAGGGCCAACAAAGGGAAGGCAGAAGCCAACAGGGACCTGGTGGTTACTATTGAGAAGGGTGGAGTAGAACTTAGTTTATAGAAGAAACTGGCTTAGAGGATCACCAATATCTGCGTATCAAAACTCAAGAGTGCATTTACCGGGGCCAATCTCTCTAATGGAATGGGCCAGCCTCAGTCAGAGAATGTAGTGGGCTCTGATTTACAATGCTTTCTTGCTGTCAAAGGAGGTAAGGGTTGAAGTTTGGATTTAAATTAAATTTGAAATGCTTTAATTGGTTTGAATATTATTATGCAAGGAACCTCCTCTTTTTACATGTTTTAAACTGAATGAACATAGCTAAGTGGACTTTTAGTGACAAAACTTGACCCAAAACACAGATTTCTTCTAAGAATAAATATTCATATCTTTTTTCTCTAAGCAGATCTGAGAAAAAATATTCGAATCTTAATGTTGTACATTTACTGTCAATCCTGATTATAAATTGAGTTGTTCTTTTAATGATTTACAAACCTGAATTTGTCAAAATTAATTTAACTCCCCCATACACCTGGAGTTCTTTACAGATAAATTGTATAAACCCAAGGCATATATTTTATATAAACACAAACGTATTAGGACAAAGTTGCACATGGTGGTTTTGACACAAGTAGACTGGTTCTTTTTTTCCTTTTTTTTTTTTTTTTGAGATAGTGTCTTGCTCTGTCATCCAGGCTGGAGTGCACTGGCATGATCATAGCTCACTATAACCTTGAACTCCTGGGCTTAAGCAATCCTCCCTCATAGCTATGACTACAGGCACACGCCACCATACTTGGTTAATTTTTTTAAAATGCTATTTTGCATTTTGCCAGGCTTGTCTCGAGCTCCTGGCCTTAAGTGATCTTCCTGCCTCAGCCTCCCAAAATGCTGGGATTACAGGCATGAGCCACCATGCCCAGTCTCTCTCTCTTTTTAATGGTGAGTGTAAAGTGGTTCTTTCATCTCTATTAATTCAGTGCAGTAGGGTGTGGCTAAGATTTGAAGAACCTAAAAATCTCACCTGCTTACCAGCTTTTTTGCTGGTTTTGTTTGCTGCTTTTGTAGAAATGGAGTTTATCATATTTTCATTAGGAAATCAATTTTCATGAAATTAGTTTTTCCCTGCTAAATGTGGCTCAATCCTTTAGTTTCCCTCTGCTTCTATTTTAAAACCATTCCTAAAATTGACCATTAGAGGATTTACATCTGGGGCACTTAGTACATGCCAAATGAAGATGGAAACAGAATCAGCAGCCTGGCCAGACCAGAGGTCCAGCACCCCAAACTATTAAAATACTCTTGGTGTTTTGGAGGAGGTGATAGATCCGCTTTGGAATCCAGTACGGACTACATACCCTTTCCCCAGGATCCCAATGTTACACAAGCTATTCTAAACAATTTCCAGGTGTTCATGGACCTCCCCACCTCCCAAGTTCATCCATGGACTGCCTAGCCTTACACCAACTCCAGACGAGAGCTGACAATTTCTAAAGGACCCTCCGGGTTTAAGAGGAGCAGCGGCCACTAAAGAAATCACAACCTTAATCCAACAGGTGGCACTGAGTGTGTCGGCTGGGAGCCCCAACTGGGGCACGAGGATAGGGCCAATGCTCACCTGAGCTCCGCCTGACTTCCCCGCCTCAAGGTCTCGACCTGCAGCTCTCAGGCTAGTCGGTCCAGGTCCGAATGCTCGCGAGGATGACAGGAAGGGGTTACGGTTTGTCCAGGAATATTCGGCTCTCTATGGTTGACACTGAGTTCTTCTTGAGCCAGAGCCCACCCGAGGAGCTCATTCCAGGAAGACGCGAGGGTCGGAAAGATGAGGCCTGTGGGGGCGACTTGGCGCCCCGAGCGTGCACGGAGGGGTTCGTTCGGCCTCCTCCCGGAGGGAAAGGGTTTGGGCGTGGTCCCTATGGAAAGGCTGAGCTGAGCCGGGTGCCATGCTCCTTCCTCGGACCCCACGGTTCTCCTTTTCCGTAATTCCAAAGCATTTCCGAGGGCTGAGGCATGCGCGGACGACCTCGGGCAGGCAGTGACCAACGTCCCCTTAGGTTCGGGTGTGTCGGGTGAGTCCAAACTGAGGGGCGGGCACCACGCCGCCCACCAGTGTTAGGCCTTCTCGGGAACAGCCAGCCGCGAAGCGCCGCCCTTGGCAGGGAAGCTGAGGAAAACTCCGGCTCCCTGACTGGGCAGCGGCGACACCACAACAGGGCCCGCGCGCTGAGGCCCCGCCTCCCGGGCCCGGCCCGGCCACGCGCGAGGAGAAACTGCGCTAAGTCCCGCCCCTCAGGTCTAGGGCCCGCCCCCTTCCGGCCCCCGCGCGCCGAGGCCCCGCCTCCCTGCCCCGCCCCCTCCGGAGCCGCGGCTCTGCTGGGGCTCGGGTGCGGCGCTAGCCCGGTAGTCCTGCTTCCCGGCCGCGCCGCAGCCCCCGCCAGCTGTCTTTCCCGCACCCCTGCGGGCTCCTCCACGCCGTACGTGGGCGCGCCCGCCGAGAAGGGCCGCCGCCACGGGTAAGTGGTGCCCGCGCCTGCCGGGCACCAGCCCTTGGCTGCGGGGCGAAGCTGGGGGCGCGGGCGTCTCCCCGCCGCGGGCCCGCAGGCAGCGAGGCGGCGCAGGATCCCGTCCCCGGTACGGAGGTGTCAGGCGGCGCCGTGGGGGCGATCCCCGGGCGCAGGCGGCTCCCCCGCCCGCGGCCCGGCCCGCCGCGCGCGCTGCTGCAGTGCGGGGGCGGCCCTGCCGGGACGGCGCGTGGGCGTGGGGTGCGGGCGGGAGACCCCAGACGGCAGCTCCGAGGCTGGGTGGGGCCCCCTCCGGCTTCCCCCGCGCTCCGCTCGGTTCCTCGCGGCAGACGATGTGCGGCCACGCCCTCGCGGAGTCGGGCGCGGCCTCCGGTCCGGCAGGTGGAGGTCAGGGGGGTCACGGCCCCGCCACACGACGACGGAGAACTCAGCCTTTGTTTGCTCGTGCACTCCTGGCTGGGGAGCAGGCTGGGGACGCAGACCTTTCAGAACGAAGGCTTTCCTGTCCAGGCAAGACCCCAGTCTTCCCCACTGTCCCCAGAAGAAGGGACCTGAGCCGCAGTGCGCGCTCTGCCGACCTGGCCCCTGCGCCTTGCAGGGTTCCCTGCTGCTGACCGAGACTGTTACCCGCAGGTGTTGCCCTTAACTCCGGACAGCGGCCTCACATTTGGGAAAACCTTCTAGGATTTTTTGGTAAGGTGATGGGGAACACCCCCGTACCAAAGCCTACTTCTATTAGGTGTCTTAAATTATTTTCAGTACAGTTTAATTACTACTCTGAAAGACCAGGTTCAAATTAATGTGTCCTAGAGTCGATTAAGCCAATTGGTGACGAGTGTTTCTGTGCTGTAGACTAAAGGTCATTATCTATTTTATTACTAATATTACATATCTGTTATTTATCAGTAAATGTTCTTGCTCATGGGAGGGTCACTCTGTCCTCATTTCATCTAACTCAGAACTGTTCCTTCACGTAAACATGTTTACAGTGAACTTCTTTGAGATCTGGCAATTGGTATTTCACTTGAACTTGTTTTTCTAAGCAATTAAGAGGGGATAAGGTGAGAGAAATTTCCTACTGACATTTTAGATTTTACAGATATACTTGTTTATATGGTTACTCCTTTGTGTGTGTAATTGTTGGAGCTACATAACTATCGGTTTTACTGAACTGTTGAATGTCTCACAGAAAAGGTAACCAGGAGAGATTGCAAGATCATTGGCAAAAGAGTTATTTAAGGGCTGAACTATTAATTTTACCACTAGCATAACGTAGCGGAGGCCCTGCAGTATCTCACTGACCTGAGCTGGAATCTGGTTCTGCTAGCTCCTCCGTGTGTGACCTGGGCAGTTTTCCAAATGGCCTGATCTCCAGTATTCTCCTCTTGGGACTGAGGATACCGTCTCACAGGACTCTCACGTATTGGATGAGAGAGATGCATGCATAAATGGTGGATTTACCGAGCTCTCCCAGAAGATTTGCTTAGTAGCATAACATCATATGCCCCTTATTTTGAAACAAAGAGCTTGCTTGAATGACTATTTCCAAACTTCTCGCCTGTGCTGTTAGTTAAGCCAAATAATACTTTCTTCATGTTGCCGACCATAACATTGAACCACTCCAGGTACCTGCTCTCACCTGGCTGGCACCCTCCTTGCCGCGAGCGGTGGTGCCCTTTGCCACCCCTTTGCCTTTGCCACCTCCTAAGCATACACCTTATCGCTGACGCAGTTCTCTTCCTGGTAACTCTAGCTGCCCACACCTGTGGACTTTGAGGACTCCTCTGCTGGTAGTTGAGCTTCCTCTTGCCAGCGTCAGACTCTATTACTTCAGCTACCCTCTGTCACTGTGTGTGCCACATTAAACTGCAATTTTATATTTAGGTATTTCCTTTTTTGTTAGGCTAGGAAATATGAGGGTAGGAACCCTATCTTATTCATGTTTCTTTCCTTGGCTCTTAGACACTTAATAGAGTGAACAGACTATGCATGGAGCATTGCAGTGGTTCGGAGATGCTGGATTTCAGACCTGTAAATTTCCTGATTTCCCAACTTTAGTTTTTACTTGGCAAAAGCAACAGACTACCACCTCTCATTACCATCCTTTCCTTAATGTTTTCAAAAGGTGTGAAGGCTGTTATTTTAGAAAAAGGGACAGGCCTTTTCAAGAATGAGTAGGTAATCTTATTTTGTGGGTGTGTACGCATGGTACAGTATGTTTTTGCAGAGAAGCACAGCATGTGCAAAGGCTCTGTCGTGGGATGGGCTGTTTTGGGACATGCAGAGTGCAGTAAGGAGAGAAGTGGGTAGAATCTTGTAGGCTGAGGAGGGGATTGGTTGGATTTATTGTAAGTTTAATGGGAAGAGTTTGAAAGATGGCAGTTATATGGATTAATTTATGATTTAAGAGGATTCTTGGAATGCTGTGTGAAAATACATTGGAAAGGACAAGAGTGAGAGAGAACCATCAGAAAACTCTGCAAACTTTCAGGGAACAGGTGGCTTGCACCTGTTCGTGCAGTAGAGACGGAGAGCATTAAGTCAACAGGTGTTTTGGAAGAAGAGGGGACAGGGCTTGGGCTGAGTGTGGCAGGTGAAGAGAAGGAAGAGTCCAGAATGACAGAAGGTCCCATGGATGGAGGGGCCACTTTCTGAGAAGGGGACAACTAGAGAAGGAGCAGATTAAGGAGATGGAACTGAAAGTTTAGTTTTTTCAACAGCTTTATTGAGGTATAACTGACAGATCATAATCTAATTTTAGCACATTTCAGTTACCTCACGAAGAGGCAGTAACTGCCTGTTTCTACACCACCCTAGGCAGCCAGTAATCTCACCATCTCTATAGATTTGCCGCCTACTCTGGGCATTTCATATAAATGGAATCATACAATATATAGTCTTGTGTCGCTGGCTTCTTCCACTAAGCGTGTATTTTCCAGGTTCATACAGATTATAGCATGTATCGGTACTTTGTTCCTTTTCATTGTCTAATAATGTCCCCTTGTATGGATAGACCACATTTTGTTGATGGTTGCTTGTCTTATTCAGGCTGCCATAACAAAATAGTATAAACTGGGTAGCTTATAAATAATAGAAATTTATTTCTCACAGTTCTGGAAGCTGGGAAGTTCAAGATCAAGATGCTGGCAGAGTCAGTGTCTGGTGGGGCTTGCTTTCTGGTTCATAGATGGTACCTTCTCCCTGTGTCCTCACATAGTGGAGAGGACAGCCAGGCTCCCTCAGGTCCCTTTTAAAAGGACACTCATCCCGTTCATGAGGGCTCTGCCCTTGTGACCTAATCACCTTCTAAAGGCCTCATTTCCTAATGCCATCACCTTGGGGGTTAGGATTTCAATGTATGCATTAGGGGTGGGGGACACAAGCAAGGAGCACTTGGGAGTCTAGTTTTGGAAGCACTAAGTTTGAGATACCTGTTCCACATTCAGGTGGAGAGGTCAAGTGGGTATTTGCATGAGCTTGAACCTCAGAGGGGGAGGTTGGGGAGAGCATTATTAATCTGAGGCATTGGCATGTAGATGGTATTTTGAAGTTATAGGAATAGAGAAATCGCCAAGGATAGAGAGGGAAAGGAAGAGGTCCCAGGGCTTGATACCAGGGAATGTCAGTGTTTAGCGGTGGGTAGAGGAGGAGGAAAGAAGTGCAGAGAGAAGTGGGAAGCAGGCTCCAGGGCTGGTGGGGCCAGAGGAGTGTGTGGGCCGAGAGGAGGCTGTTTTGAGAAGAAGGAAGTGGTCTGCTGCAGAGTCCTACTGAGAGGTAAAGTTGAGGAAACAGAAGGGACCACTGGCAATGGTGACTTGAAAGTAGTGGTGGCCCTGGGAGGATTGGAGTGAGTTTGGAGTGATTGGAAAGTGAAGTAGAAGATTCCATGAAATTCTTACGACATCCACTGGCCAATGAATGAAAGATTCAGGCTTAAAGAACATGTTATACTTACAGTTCAATTTCTTGCATCTACCGTACTTGCCTTTTTACTTGATTGACTATGTGCAACTTGGTTAGCAAACAAACCAACTAACCATGCTCCATCATATTTAATCACATAATGTTGCTCTATGTTTCTCTGTCTTCTTTCAGAAAAAGCAGTACTAGCAAAATACTGTTTAACCTCATATATCAATCAGGATTGTGGTTGTCTATAATAGAAAACCTGATTGAATTGTGGCTTAAACAAATTAGCTGTTCCAAGCGGAAAACATAGACCAGAGGTAGAGCTTCCAGGGTTGTATGTGGTGCCTTCATAATGCCATCAGGGCCTCAGCTGCTCTCTCTGTCTACTCAGCCATCCTTAGTCTGTGACTTTTGTGCATGTTTCGTCATTGTTGTAAGATGTGGCTTCACTCCAACATCAAAGCTTTGTGCCAGGCAGAAATAAGAAGAGTGAAGGCAAAAAGGCTTTTGCCAGAGGAGTCTGCTTCCTTTCAAACAGCTTTCCTAACTACCAGGTTCTACTGACATTTCATTGTCTAGAGCTGTCACATGGCCATCTAGCTGCAAGGGAGCCTGGAAACTGTAGCGCTGCCCTGAACAAAATTAGGGTTCCATTAGTATGGAGAAGGGGAACAAGGAATTTTGGGTAGGTGTCTGACACACTTTAAATAGAACTTCATCAGGTGAAGTCTAAAGAATGGGAGCAAATCAAAACCCTAAAGCATTCTTTTTGAGAAAATGCTAAAATATGGAACTTGGTGACAGATCAAAGAAGAATTTGACATAACCGTGTCTTATAAAGTATCTTTCAGAGTTGTAACTTGTTTGAATAGACTGATGAGTTAACCTTCAGATTTTTTTTAAATGAAGGAATAAAAACAAAACGACATAAACATGCATTTATATTTGTATATGTTATAATGTGTACACGATAGATTTTTTAAAAAGTCAAATCAGTGTAGCATTTCATTCTTTATTGTTCCTTATTTTGTTTTGTTACATTAGGGACAAAAATAAAAGAAAATGGTGGCTGTTAGTGTTGGAATTAGACAGTGTATGTCTGAGGCTTTGCAGTGGCTGCATTGGTTCATATATAAAGAATACATTTAATGAAAGAAAGAATAAAAGAATCCATCAAAGAATATATTACAAGAACAGGAAGAATAGAATGAGCTTGCTTGGACCTGGGTATAACACATCCTCCATCCAAACTCTGCACTCTGGGGGAGGCATAAAGCCTAGGGCAGCACCCAGCTGGGCCTGGCTGGTAATTGGAGCTTAGTAACTGAACAAGCACTTGGTGGATGTATGAGAACACTGCTGTCAGATGCCTCATCATTAATCATTACATCCTTATTTTCTTTAACATTTTATTTTTTTCCACTTGATTTTCTTATAGAATATTTCGTATCTTCTAGTCTAGTTATACAGGATTGAATTGCTACAGAGACTGTTCAAGTTAAGAGTTTTTCCTTAGGCTTTATAAATGCCCTGTGATAGGAAGGGCCTTCTGCATTCAGAATTACCAAGTGGCAACAATCTGTGGTTTAGCAGCTTTGCAAGTTCACTGCTAGAATTCATTTTGTCAGTCAAGTGAAACCCTAGCATTCTTGCTTCTTTCTGCTTCCATGCATTTGTCTCCCTCAGAATCCATGAGGGCAGGAAATATTTATCTCTTAATCTACCACAGGGCCTGGCCCAGAAGCCTTGCTAAATATTTGAATTGCATTGCCAAGTGCATTTGTACACAGCCGTGTTTCTGAACACGTGTCTTCTGTAGCTTTGGGTTGGGAATGATTTGCGTCCTTGAATGTCTCTCTCATTTGGTTATTTTTTCATTCACTTTTAGATACTTTCTCAGCTGTCTGTGAGAATGTAAGATGGATCCAGAAGAGCAGGAGCTGTTAAATGATTATAGATACAGAAATTACTCTTCAGTGATTGAAAAGGCTTTAAGAAATTTTGAATCTTCAAGTGAGTGGGCGGATCTCATATCTTCACTTGGCAAGCTCAACAAGGTATGTGGGGCATATACTATTTGGATTGCATGGAGGCGGGGACACAATTGGCTTTTTATTATTATAAGGAATTCATGATGGTTATAACAGAAAATACAGAAAAGAAAAATCACCCATAATTCTGTCACCCAGAATTACCCACTGTTGACCTGTGCATTTACCTCCTTCCAGCTTTTTCTGAGAATTATATATAGTATTGATATAGTTGAACAATCTTTTTTTTTTTTTGAGAAGGGGTCTTACTATATCAGGCTAGCCTAAAACTTTCTGAGCTCAGGCAATCCTCAGCCTCCCAAGTAGCTGGGATTACAGGCATGAGCCACTGTGCCCAGCTAGTTGAACAGTCTTTTTCTTAATATTATTTATGTCTAGGCAAAATAAAATTTAAAATTGTCAAATCAGTTATTCAAAGACTTCTTAGGATTTTTTCTGCCTTTTCTTCTTTGACCCAGTTCTTTGACCATTTTACTGCTTACTGGTAACTCCTAGAAAAAAATAAAGGATGAAATAAATATTGAAATCTGCCTGAAACTTGTGTGTGTGCTTGTATTTGTGTGTGTGTGTTTGGATGAGGGAAAGGGGTCAGGTCTAAGAAAGCCAACGCTGGTCAAATGTACTCTATATTTGTGACCACAGATGGAACTATTGTATTTTCCCCTCCTGCCCATGAGGAGGATGACCGTGATGACAGGTAGGTAGGAGGTATCTGGGCTTGAAGAGGCTGCACTTGGCTCTGTTGCTGTCTGGACAGGATCTGAGTTTGGAGCCTGGGTGCCAGGTAGGAGTTGGGAAATGCCCAACTCTACCCTGAAGATCTCAGCTCCCCAAATCAGACACACCAGGGGACTTGGGGTGAGTGAAGATTTGAACAGCCTGACCTGGTGTACTGCCTGGGCAGCAGCCCAGCACTAATAACCAGAAAGCAGCAGTGAGCCCTGACAGATGGCTTTCAGGCACGGTGGAGATAGGAGCTATTACAGCTTGTGGCCAGGAAACTGCTGGCCTCTTGCAAGGCACATTTACAACATGTAAATGTCATGGCTTGGTGCTGGCTGGGGTGGGTAAACATATACTCCTAAGGTTTTCCTTTAAAACAGGAAATAAGAACTTGAGAATTCTTAGTTGTGCAGCTCCAACGCAGGAGTTCTCAAGCTGAAGATAGCATTCACTGACTCTTGTGAAGGCAGATTACATTTTTAGGGGAAAGGGAGCAACAGTAGAATGGGATTGAGGCATGTTCAGGTTCTTCTGGAAGTTTTACTGTTTTAGTACCCTGTTCTCCTGGAGTCTAGAGACTAAGAACAGCATACTTTGTGGGGGATGAGAGGGAATAGGAAGACAGTATTCATTATTTCTGGTTTTTTTTCTTTATTGGGATGAAATCCGCCATTTATCCATTTTAAAGTGTACAGTTAAATGGCTTTTAGTACATTTACCATGTTGTGCAATGATCACTGCTTTCTAGTTCCAGAACCTTTTCATTACCTCAAAAGGAAACCCATACCCATTAGGCATTTCTTCTCCATTCCTCCCTCCCCCCAGCCTCCGGCAACAACTAATCTACCTTCTGTCTCTAGGAACATTTCATATAAATGGAATCATACACTACGTGCCTTTCTGTATCTGGTTATTTCACTTAGCATAATGTTCTCAAGGTTCATCCATGTTGTAGTATGTGTCAGAATTTCCTTCCTCTTTATGGCTGAATCATATTCCATCGTATGGATAAGCTATGTTTTCTTTATCCATTGATCAGTTGATGGACATTTATGTTTCTAACTTTTGACTGTTGTGAATAGTGTTATGAGCATTCATGTACAGGTTTTTGTTTGAACACAAGTCTTCAGTTCTTTTGGATATATACTTAGGAGTAGAATTCCTGTGTCATATGGAAACTCCGTTTAATTCATCAAGGAGCCACCAAACTGTTTTCCTCAGCAGTTGTATCATTTTACATTCCCACCAGCAGTGCATGAGGGTTCCGATTTCTCCACATCCTCACCAACACTTACTTTCAGTTTTTGTGATGATGGCCATCCTAGTGGGTGCGAAGTGATATCTGACTGTGGTTTTGTTTTGTATTTCCCTAATGACTGCTGAATTTGAGCATCTTTTCATATACTTGTTGACCATTTGTACATCTTTTGGGGAGAAATTTCTATTCAAGTACTTTGCCCATTTTTTTCTTTTCTTTTCTTTTCCTTTTCCTTTTTTTTTTTTTTTTTTTCTGAGACAGGATCTTACTCTGTTGTCTAGGCTAGAGTGCAGTGGTGTCTTCATAGCTCACTGCAACTTCAAATTCCTGGGATCAAACAGTCCTCTTGCCTCAACCTCCCGATTAGTTGGGACTACAGGCATGTACCACCACAGCTAATTTAAAAAAAAATATTTTAGAAACAAGGTCTTGCTATGTTGCTTAGGCTGCTGGTAAACTCCTGGCCTCAAGTGATCCTCCTGCCTCAGCCTCCCAAAGTGCTAGGATTATAAGTGTGAGCCGCCATGCCTGGCCACTTTGCCCACTTTTAAGCTGGGTTGTTTATCATTTTGTTATTGATTTGTAAGAGTTCTTTATATATTCTGGGTACTAGACCGTTACTGGCTATGTGATTTGCAAACTTTTTCCCCCATTCTTTTCACTTTCTTAATAGTGTTCTTTGATGTCCACAAGTTTTTTATTTTGGTAAAGTCTAATTTATGTTTTTTGCTGGATGCTTGTGCTATCAGTGTCATATCTAAGAAACTGCTGCCAAATCCAAGATCATAAAGATTTGCCCCTATGGTTTTTTTTAAGAGTTTTATAGTTTTAGGTCTTTGATCCGTTTTGAGTTAATTTTTGTACATGATGTAAGATTGGAGTACAACTTAATTCCTTTGCATGTGGGTATCCAGTTTTCCCAGCACCATCTGTTGAAGGAACTGTTCTTTTCACAGTGAGTGGTCTTGGAACCCTTCTTGAAAATTAATTGGTCATAGGTATGTGGGTTTATTTCTGGACTCTCATTTCTCTTCCATTGATCTGGATGTCTGTCCTTATGCCAGTCCTGTTTTACTAACTAGCTTTGTGATAAGTTTTTAAATCAGGAAGTGAGAGTCCTCCAACTGTGTTCGTTTTCAGAATTGTTTTGTCTATTCAAGGTCCCTTGCAATTCCATATGAATTTGAGAATCAGCTTGTCAATTTCTGCAAAAAAGCCAACTGGGATTTTGGTAGGGATTGCGCTAAATCTATGTATTGCTGTGGGGAGTACTGCCACCTTAACAGTATTAAGTCTTCCAATCCATGAATGCAAGATGACTTTCCATTTATTTTGGAACATATACATCTTGAGCTAGGTAAAATTATAAACTTGTTAAGTGCAGTCCTCAAGTAGTGAGATATTCTGTTAAACAGGCTTTGTTTCAGTATACCTGAAAAACTCTAAAACGTTTAATCCTTTTAACCCACCTTTTAAAATGCCAGTTATTGAGTATAGTTGAATGTTTCTTTAAGGACCTTTTAAAGCATTGGCCGTTCATTCATTCCATAGCTATTTGAGCACCTACAAGGTGCCAGCCCTGTGCTAGGTACTGAAGTACATCACAGAACAGGACTGACAAGACCCTGCACACCTGCTGGTTGGGTTGGTGGGGAGGACAATCAACTGGATGTACAGGATGTGAGGTAGTGTTGGCTGTTGCAGACATAGCGAGGAAGCAAGAGGACAATGAGTGTTGGGGAATGGTGCAGTGTTCAGTAGGCCATCAGGAAGGCCTGGCAGAGAAGGTGCCATCTAACCAGTGCAGAGGCTCTGATGTTTCTGAGACTCAGGATGCCAATGAGATTATCCCTGAGCACGCAAGGGAGAAGGGGAGCGTAGGAGGTGAGTCCAGAGAGGCAGGGGGTGGGAGGGCATAGGATCTTGTAGGTCTTTCAGAACTGGGGTCCTGACAGTGGCCACTGGGTTAGAGTGGAGCCACTGGGCAGAGTCGGGCAGAGTCGAGCAGAGCGGCCTGGCCTGGTGTCCCATTTGGCATGATAGAACCATTTCCAGCTGCTCCACTGGGTGCTGACGGCCGGTGGGGGTGGGCAGGGCAGAGGTGGGGAGCCCTCTCAGGAGGCTGCTGCTGTAGTGCAGGGTCGCCAGTAGAGAGGTGCTGGGATTCTGATGTACTGTGAAGGGGTGACTTGGGATTTGCTCAGGGGTCAGATGTGGGATACAACAGAAAGAGAGGAGTCGAGTGTGACTCCAGGTTTTCAGCTTGAGAAGCCAGAGGGTGAGACGTGGAGTCTGTAGAGGAGTAGGCTGCAGGGGTGGGCAGGAAGACCAGGGTTCACTTTGGGGTGGTGCGGTTTGTCTGGTGGACATCCCAGTGTGACGTCCACAAGCATCTGGACCTGACTTGCAGGTCTAGACTAGAGCGGCACGTTGGGAGCTGCCAGGCAGATGGTGTTAAAGGTCCTGAGACAGTAGCAAATGTAGACGGAGGAGAGATGAGGCCCAAGACTGCAGTCTGGGGTTCCAAAAATGAAAGAGGTCAAGAGAAGGAGGGAACCAGCACGAGAAACTGGGAAGGGTCCCTGGTGAAGCCAGGAGACCTGGGAGAGCACGTGCTTGCCCGTGTCAAATCCCACAAAGGGGCCGGTGTGATGAGGTCCAAGACGGGCTCCTGGAGTCAACCATGCAGAGGTCCTGGGAGCGGGAAGGGGTTGGAGTGACAGGAGACACAGGAAGCTGCGAGTGCAGAGAGCATTCTAGGTGGGGCTCTTCATTGCACAGCGTGGGCTTTGGAGAAGGGATAGACCAAGACCAGTGTCCACTGACTGTTACGTCCTCAGTGAGCTGTGTTCTCAACAAGAAATCCTGCCTTGTCGTTGTTCTCTCTTCTCTCTCTTTTATTTTAAATTATAAAATACAAATAAAATGTACTATTTTAACCATTTTTAAGTGTACAATTCAGTATGGTCATTGCTGCCTTTTAAAAGTGGGGTACCAATAGTTAAGGGAAAGTTCTGGTGTTGAG